CGCTTAGTCACACAAGATCCTTTGTCAGTAAAGAAAATACAAATTTACTTTTATTATAACCATAAAGAGGCATTACTTTAACAATTAGGTGTATATTCAGCACTCAGGTATACATCTGTGCCAAATAAAGGCAATTCTCTTACTGCTAAAAAAGAACACTTCTCAACAATGCACCACCTGTGATTACAGGATGTTTATTGTCTCTGTATTACAGTTATCTTGACAGACAAGCCTCAGGATACAGAATAAAGCTTTACTCTTGGACCAAAATAGGAGGCAACATTTTTATTTAAAAAAATTAAAAACAGCAAGTTTCTAGTCAGATAATATAAAGCATCTTAAATTAATCTTTTGAAAGTATTTACACTATTTGTAAACGTAAATATCTGAAACTGTACATGTTTAAACAAATGTTCGTTTAGCAAACAGGCTGTATAAACTGATTGCTCTTCTAATCTTTCAACCAGCTGCCCTAGAGCTGTCTGAGTACTCTAAGAGAGAAAAAGATCCCAAGCACAAGAGTAACTATTGCAATGGTTTACCCTTCATGTCTTTTCTGTACAACATCTGTATTAAGTCAGTCACAACTCTATACAGCGACCACACAGTCCTTCTGTAAAACTTTATAAAAAACAAATATACATATATTACAATGCACTGGACATTATTTTACAGCCTGTATTTTTACATAAGTAAAAAGAAAGGGCAAGTTTTCTTCCTTGTTAGTTCCTTTAGTTAATTTTTAAGGAGTCATGTAAGGTCCTATGAGTACCACTTATGTACCTCTGCACCACTGCTGCACTACTTCTCGTGGTAGCTTTAAATCCTACCATCTTAGTCTTCAGCCATGTCATTTATAACAGGAAAGTTATTAAATCAAAACACCACCAATGTGCATGGAAATTTCTACATATTTAAAACTACAGAACCGGTTTTATAAATAAGTTAAAAATCTGCCATGTAAGTCACCACATTTTTCTTTTGCAGTGCTGCACAATAAAGACTTACACACTGAGACACCCTAAAGCTGCTTGTAGTGTTTCATTCAACTCATGACCGAGTGTTTTAGTGTTCAGCTTTCTTAAATAATGACCAATTTATGCATACTGAACACCGTGCACCGTTTACCAGTTACCAAGTACTTATCCCCCGTTTACAATGCTGATTTGACAGGCTTGCACATTCCATTTTTGGCATCCACACACGCCCTTACTAGCACTTACTCCAGCGCGCAAAGGCTGTACAAGTTCCAGTCCCCATTTTAAACAATGTAATACCACCATTTGCTCTTGGGCGAGGTCAAAAAACCAACTCTAACCTAAGACTAAGTACCTGAGAATCTCAATGCTAAGCTTTGCAGTAAAGCATGTGAAAACATGCGCTTCCCTCAGAAAGAACAGAAATTATATTGCACAGTTTTCCATTGCAAATCCCAAGGAAATGAGATTCTTTACATGGAGGAAGGTGAGAGCATGAAACTTCAGGTCAGACCTCACCGCTCCCAATCACAACACTCTAAGAAAAACAGCACATCCAGTGTTTCGAGAAATGCTTCACATGTGGGAAACAAAGTTTTCCCAACTAAGAATCTCTGAATTATGTTCAAGCACATGGTGGATTACCAGGATTTTCGGGGAAGTTAAAGAAAAATCAGAGCCTGCCTGCTTAAGTCAAATCGTCATACCAATGTGCTTATCTCAAAGCCTTGTAAATACCTATCGCCGCTACCATTTGATTCCCTGCGCTTTATTTCCAGCATGTCTTTGAAAGTGCGGCTTTTCACTGCGTACATGCTTATTAAAGGAAAGCAAGAAAGGTTTTTACATAAAAAAAACCCAGGATTTCAACTTTGAGAACATCTGGATAAGGCAGTAACTGAGCTTCTGTAAGAGTGATCAGCAGAGGGGTTTTTGTTTTGTTTTCCCCCGCCCCGACTTCTCCAGCCAACAAACAGGAAGACCTTTAACAGATCAATAAAACTGTGTTGTTTGTTTCTTTGTTTCTAAAACAGAGTTAAGCAGCCTGGATAGTTTTGATGCAGACTGGACTGCACAGTGGGATCCTTCATCTACTTCAAGCAAATGTCTTTGCATTCCCTTCACTGTCTGGCATTCAGCTGAAGCTTATTTCAAGCAGCCTCACTGTTGGGCTACTTGGACATCGATAAAAGCAAGTTGACCTGGAAGACAAAAAGGAAAGCCTACATCAGAGCAGCTAAGTTTCAGAACTGATGTCTTACACTTCACCCTTTAAACAAGACTCTTAGAAAGCACATCGTCTTAGATGAATCAGAAGACAGCTACAAAACTACTGGCCAAAATTTCCAGTCAAATATCTGCTCAGAGGCTTTTTAAAATGCAATTGTTGACTATGCTGACTAGTCATTTCAGCAGTCACAACCTACTGTGTCAGAGTTTCTAAAATGACTTCATGCATTGTCAAGGAATTCCAAAAAATAGCATACTAGCAAAAAATGTTCACATTCATCTTAGATATCTGAAACATATTTGGGATCCTTCACAACACTTGTTTCCCAGATTACAATATGGTTTCCCATACACTTCAGTTCGTAGGAGAAGCGATCCTAAGGATTAACAGATAAACAATTAGAGGAAGCCATCTCCTCTAGGACAACCCCACCTCCTTCCAGTACATCACTCCCACTCCGTGCTCCAGAAGAGTTATCACACATCCCTGCTGCCACATTCACCACAGGCAATGTGCTCTAATCTGTAAACTAGATTATCTGTTTAAATATTGGCATCCTGGAATAATCATGATTCTATCCACATTCCTTGGACCACTAAGGTCAAAGCAAGATTTTTAAAAACCTATTTGGTTTCTGTCAGAGCATCCTAATACAGAGAATTCTTAACCCCAATCATCTCTGAGACTAAAGACCTTATTATGTAGGGTTACATTTCCATAAACATCTGCACATTTTCCCAATGCAATTTACTTCAAATGAACCCCTGTAATTCTTTGTCATGCTTCTTAAATGTAAAAGTTGCTTCTTTTTGTATTTGTCAAAAGCAAGACTGCCTTCACACGCACAAGCTTTTTTAAAGCATATTCATTAGCTTTGATCTCTCTCTGAGAAGACAATGCCCAGAAATGGCAAGACTCTGCTATGATGTTGTACAACTCTATCCCCAGCAACATCAATCACCACCCTCAGTTTAAAAACTCTATTGGATATTCATTAAAAAAAACAAACAAAAATCCCTTTCAGCTGAGAGCCTAGAGTTCAGATAAAACCCTGAGTTTCATCATACAGGATTATGGGGGATAATAAATAAATAAATAGGGATTCTGAACACTGAAAATACTAAAAAGAAAAATTAATGTTTAAAAAAGCCAGTCACATGAAAGAGCAACTGATAAAACAGGGAGCTTCAATATATACCTGTTCCATTGAAGGACAAGCTATGATCTGAAGATCTTCATTACTAAATTCTTCCTTTAACAAAGCATGGAGTTTCTGGAACATTTGCTGAATATTATTCTTTTGAAGGAAAGAAGAAAAATCTTAATATTAAAATCCACAACACTCATCTCAAACATGAACCAAAATAAGCACAATGTACATGGAATAGCTACTGAAGTGACCAGGTAGGGAGAAGCTTTTCTTCTAAAAAGAAAAAGAGCTTTTCTTCTAAAGCCCCAAAACAGCCACAAGGAATTCACGTTGGCTGCGAGATAAAAACTTCAGCTAAGATGTGCTAAGCTGAAACACTGAGTCCTACAGACTTAACCTAGAAACTTAAAACTCAAGCTTGGTTCTTCCTGCTCGGTTTACAGGGGTCTCTCATTGCATCTGCCTCCAGTGCTTCTGCCCATGTGTAATGGACCAAGCTGTACTGGTTTTGGCTGGGACAGAGTTAATTTTCTTAATAGTAGCTTGTATGGTGCTGAGTGGAAGATCTACAGAATGAACAGAACCAGTTGCTTCCCTGTAAGCCTGTTATGTAGACTGAGTACAATGGAGAGCAGAACAGCTTTTTTTTTTTCTTCCCCTAAGCCAAACATATCATTAGATTATTTATTACTATTCTTTCATGTGTCTTTTCCACAGGCTTCTCGGATCAGGGACACCACAGTGACTGTCATAGTCTGTTCACTATTACACGTGCATGGTATCTGTTACATGTTCTCTGGATGGACTGATAGCCTAGAGTAACTCTACAGATATACACATACACATATGTATGTGTGTCTGTATATATACGCTTATAAATATATGCATACATACAGTTATATAGATATAGTATACATATAACCATAGACACACAGAAATATAAGGTCAACAATCCCACAAAATATGTTTAAGTCTCCAACTAAATGAAGGCCCAACACCTAGAGGAAAACATGCTGAAGTACATCGAGCAATACTCACCCTAACTGGCTTAAACAAAATTAATTCTGTATCTTTATTGGACAAGTATAATGACATGCTTCGTAACGTTGATGGCAGCTTTGTTTTTATTGTCTTATAAGTAGAAGAGACCAGATCATTGATCTTTGCTGAAAGTAAAAGAAAATATGCTTAACAGGCTAAAACGGTGTTCTGCTAGTTGAAATCTACACTCCAGAATATCACCTGCTCTTTACTGGGGCTGATCATAACCACAGGGTTGAGTGACAGGGACAGAGGGG